GATTCATTGTGCATATATTTATTGTGTTATAACAGAGCTTGTTGTGGAGCTTAGGAGATGTTACAGAACCATTTCATGTAAATTTCTTCGATGTACTGAAAAAAAATCTATATAGATTACTTTTATGCGGGCAGGAGCGGGACAAAACATGAATGTCGCGGGCGGGAGCGGGACCAGATAAGATATATTTCTGAGGGAGCGGGCGGGCGTGGGACTGAAAAATCCATCCAGCGCAGGTCTCTAATTGAAAGCCCTTCTCTCAACAGCATGCGATCGCGAAAACAGATCTCTTTCCTGTTTTATTGTGCTTGAATGGTCAAATACGCACAGTTATGTCATAATTCCCGTCGTGTGGAGTATTCCTGTAAACACAGTCGGTTATATGTTAAATAAATGTAAACAGTTGGGTGAAAACCGGATGCGTTTCAGTATATTGGATCCGTGCAGTCGGTCTTAAAGGAACAGTGCAGCCTTATTTACCTGCTGCTGTCTGTCATTTTTAATGTTAATCATGTTTGATTGATACAGTGAAGACTATGCAGCGTTTTATTTATACACTTTATTCAATTTCTGTAATATTTCTTACTACATGTTAAATAAACCTAGCCTACTGTAGCTGAATAAATTAAAAGTTTATTTCATATTTATTTGTTCTGTTGTGCTTGTAATTTGCTTTTTCTTCATTTTAATAACAAAATAAAATAAAAATAGCTATATCGAGGTATATTTCGTTATCGTGAAATAACACTTTTCATATAAAACTCTCCTGTATGTTTTTAAAGCAGTGCATGGGTTGGCCCCTGCTTACGTGTCTGAGCTCGTTGCTGTTCGTCAAGCACCTAAGTCTCTAAGATCCAATAATAAGTTATTGCTTACTGTCCCTCGTACTCATTTAAAGTTAAAAGGGGATCAGGCCTTTGCTGTTGCGGGGCCGAAGCTCTGGAATAGTCTTCCTCAGGAACTTAGAGAAGTCTCATCTTTGAATGTTTTTAAAGTTGAAGTCAAAAACTACTTCTTGTCTTTAACCTTTGAGAGGGTGGGCTAGTCTTTGTTGTTAGTAGGATCTGTGTTGTTTTAAGTCGTGTGTTTTAATGAAGTGTTTTTTTTTTTTTTTTTTTTTTTGCACTTTGGTCTGCATGTGCAGTTGTAAAGTGCTCTATAAATAAAGTGAGTGAATGCCGTGAATGCCGTGAATGGTCATATCGCCCAGCCCTAGTTGTAGGTGGGGAAGTGAATGTACAGCGCTCTCTTTGCTCTCCGGGCATTGGAGCAAATGGCTGCCCACTGCCCCGGGTGTGTGTGTTCACGACACACTGCTGTGTGTGCGCAATTGGATGGCTTAAATGCAGAGCACAAATTACGAGTATGGGTTACCATACTTGGCAAATGTCACGACTTTCACTTTCAC